GATAACCAAAAAAAGCAGGCAGGGTGAGAGCAGACGCACTCGGTGACCTGGCCTGAGTCACACAGCTCTGTAAGGGCCCAGGGAGTCTTGAACCCACACAAGTCAAAGCTCCTGTTCTCTCTCGAGTGAACACTCAATCCTTTTTCCAGGAGGTAGGGGAAAGGCACAACCCACCCGCCCACTCCCGCCTGCCTTACTCGCTAGGTGGCCTTGGATACACCGCTGAATTCGCCTGGCCTCAATCTCTGTCTCCATGGAATGAGAAAACACTGTCTACATTGCAGGGTTCTGTGGTGTGTGTGGACGTTGTGGCCTCGTCTCCTGGGCTCGCCCAGCATTCAGCAGTTTGCCTTCTTGCTGCTCTTGCAATCTGATTCTTGCTTCACCAACTCCAGACCCCCTCATTAACAGCAGCCCTTCAGAACGTGTTTATTTCTCATCTTCTCCCCTCACTTCCCAGCCAGAGGCGAGCAAGGGAGGTAGATGTAGCTCAAGGCCCACCTTCTCTTCAGGGACTTTCAGCGTTCCTCCGTTCCTTTTGATCCCCTAGCTCCGGCCACAAGTCAAACTGGCCCCAAGGCCTCCGAGACGTTTTCTCTTCCTCTGCTCTCCACCCCCAACCCTAATCTTGACTGTAAGAAACAGTTCCAGGCTCTGCCTCTTCCCAGAAGCCCCTCCGTTCTGTTAGGTGATACCAGATGCTCAAGGGGGTGACCCAGAAAAACAACTCAGTTCAGCCCATTGTGATGGAGCTTGTCTGTTCTGTAACCCCCGCCACACTCAGGAGGCTGAGGGAGGAAGATAGAATTCCTAGGCCAGCCTGGGATACAGATCAAGACCCTGTCTCAGAAAAATTCAAACAAAAGGCTGGGGAATGTTGCTCGGTTAGCGGAATGCTTGTGTAGCGTGCGTGAGTTCCACAAAAACGCAGCGTGGCAGTTAAACGCCTGTACTGCAGCTCTCCAGAAATGAAGGCGGGGTGGGGGTGGGGGCCAGAAGCTCAAGATCATTCTTGGCCACATAGTGAGTTCCAAGGCCTAAAGACTGGAGTTAAAAACACTCTCATCGCAATCAGTTGAAGCAAGCAAGCAGGCAAACAGACAAACACAAACTTACAGTCACCCACAGAAGGACAGTAGATCAGCTGAGTGACTGCCAACAGTAAACCTGTAGCGAGAACCAAGCACTAGGCCAAACTGGCAGGCCCCAGGAAACTGAATTCCATCAGAATTCCTCCTACAAGCGGGAGGGCACAGGTCACTCGGACTTCGGCACCGCATCCCTGTTGATTTGCTGGGGGGGGGGGGGGGTAGGGGAACTAGACACTTGAACAAAATGAGCATGACCGGTGAGCATCAGAGGTGGCGCCTGTGTCTTTTCAGACGCACGATCTCCGGGATACCCAGTGGTGACCAGATCCAACCCAGCCCGAGTCCACCCCCACCTACCACCTCACCAGCACAGCTGCTTCCCATTTGAGGGAGGAAGGCGGACAGCAAGCAGGCTGGCTGGAGGCCAGCCAGGGCGGGAGGTCTGGCCACCAGGTGGCCCTTTGACAGGGAGGAGGATGCTGAGAAAGAGCTTTTAGCCTCCAATCTGCATCCTGGCTCTGTCTGTGTATCATCTGTGTGGCCCTGACGAGTGCTTCCTGAGTGTTAGTTTTCCTGTTTGAGGACAGGCGTGCTGCTTCAGGGAATGTACTGGATGAGCAGCGAGGGTAGAACTCTTAGTGACATGGGATGCCATGGAGAAAGTAGGAGAGGATGCTCTGCAAACAAGAGCCAGAAAGAGCCCCTGCCCTCTGGGTAGCTCACTCGGGGCGGCAGTTCGGGGGGGTTGTCTTTGCCCTGTGAGATGTAGAGATCGGCCCTCTTGACACCTGAGGACAGAAGTCGCTGGCTTTGATTACAGAGTGCTCGGGGTTGGGGTGGGGTGGAGTTCCTGTGCTTTGAATATCTCCACAAAGAAGCCACACCGCTGCCTGCCCCATCCGAGCCCCGGGCCTTCCAAGAAGACTGTGGCACACTCAGCAAGCCCAGAACAACTCCTGATTGGTACACAGAGACCACTGATGGTGTACACAGCGTCTGGCACGCTGGAGGTTTAAAAAATAAATATCACTATCGCCTTGTTTAACAGCTGTATAACCTGCACTGTAAAGGCCTACCTTGGCCCAAAGGTCCTTCTATAAGATCTGGTTATGATGGATGAAGGACGGGGGACTCTGTGTGTGTGTGTGGCTGCGCTGGAACAGTCCCAGACAGTAAACCGATGACCTTTACCCTCCAACGTCCACCCCTCCCCTACACACACACACACAACATAGAGTCCAAGGCTCTGACGCAGGGACCTATGCAAATAGATGCTGTTTCCATGGGAACTGAAACCCCAGTTTGTTTTTCCTCCCCAGCGCTCTGTAATTTCCAGCAGGGTCTGTGCAATGTCAGCTAACTACTTTGCTCTGCTCCCTGGGCCGTGTCCAGCACAGGCCACCGAGCTGACCTGTAGAAGTCACGCCTAGACTCACCTCCCAGAAGGAGGTCCTTGGGACCAAGCTCCTGCCTCCTCTGCTGGGGGGCTGCCAGAAATCATCTGTTAGCCATCCAGGGCCTGGGCTGCCAGATGAGACCCTCCCACCTCTTCCTGGAAGTGGGCCCCTGGCCCCCCACTCCTCATCACCCAGCCTTCTAGTCCTCCCTCAGGGAGGTTCAAGGATAGTCTGTGATTTCTGGCTCCGTTGAGGGCTGTGGGGGGAAGAGAGGGTGACCTGCAGGGACATTCTTGGTGGCGGCTGGATGGAGTGAAGGTTCAATCAGATTGGCAGCCTCCACATTCTGGGAAGCAGAATGCAGAGGTAGGAGGGGCTTAAAGGATGGGGCGGGCCCTGGGAGGCGATGTTGTACTTTATAAGAACAAGGTGGAAAGGAAAATGGAGGGGTGCTGGCCCAAACTGTTCACCCTGCCCTCACAGCACTCAGCTTGGACCCAGGAAGCAAGTCCATGCCTCACCCAGTTCTTTGATGACCAGGGACACAATGACACCTGTGACAGACCCAAAAGATCTAGCTTAGGTCACTCTGGTTCAAGGTCCAATATGAGACCACTAGAGACACCTTTGCTGCCACCAAGAACAATGGGTTTGCTCTTCCTTCCATTTCCGAGGTGGTATTCTTCGGGGGAGAGGGAGTCCAAAAGGAGAGTATGAGGCCAGAGTGAGACTTAGGATGCCTTTGAAGTAGCTTTCCACTGTCATCAGCATCGGCCCCACTCAATAACACGCGCCCACCCGTCCCCTCTCTTTCTTGGCCTTTTCGGGTTTTGTGTTGTGGGCAAGGTAAAGACACAAGTGTGAAAGTGCTCGGGGCCGGCCGCTGCTGTTATTACCACAGGGAGAGCCCCGCCCCCATTCGCCAGCACTCTCTCTACTTCCCACCCAGCCTCCAGCTACCACAGAGCAGCCACAGTCCCCATGACTCCACAGCCAGTGACCAGAGGAAGGTTCACGCCCACAGAGGCAGAGAAAAGAAAAGAGAAGCCGTCCAGAGCAAGGTTGGAAGGGACTCAGGGTGGAGCAGCGGCCTCTCCTCAGCTGGGTCGCCATTGCCACTGGTTTCTGGGGTTCCCATAGCCCAAGTGGCTTTGACCCTCAGGCTATAGCAGCCCTAGCCACCTCCCTGCTGCACCTTGAGTCAATGACAACTGTGAAACCACTGACCTGGTTTTCGGAAGAGAGGAAAAGATAGAGAGCACGCATCCACCAGCATGTGGGTGCTACACACCACACACACGATGGAAACTTTCTCCTTGACAGAAACCAAGCCCTCAGAGGGAAGTATCTTAGGTACAAAGATTAATGTTTACCTGCGGTTGGCTAGAGGCACTTCAGGGGCATCCCAGATACCACATGCTCCCCTGCCAAGGGACAATGGCACCACTGCCATCTCTGTCAATGAGATGGGCTCCTGGGCCAAGAAAAGGATTAATAAACTCCTCATCACTACCTAAGGGTCTAAGGAGAGAGAAAGAGAGATGTCCAATGTCTCCCATCCCCAAACTCTCCACATTAAAGTCCCTCCAGCCTCAATAACATCTTGGGGCCAGATCCTGCAATGGAGAAATGATAAGGTATTTACAGTGAGTCCTCAATGGATGGTGACTGATGTTATTATTGACCTCATTACAGATTAGCTGTCTCCCTCCACCGGCCTGCGTATGGTGGAGCAGCAGAGAGTGGATTAACTTATCCCCAACCTACCATGTGCTGAGAGATGCAGTATCGGAATCAGAGGGGACCCCTGAGATCACGGTGAGGGAAGTGTCCTTCCCATAGTCCTCTGCTCCCTCTCCCAGTTACACACAGCAGCAGCAGCAGCAGCCCCCATCATCTGGGAACTTATACACAATGCAAGCCTCAGGTTCCACACACATAGGATCAGAATTTGCATCTTTAATATGACCCCCAGGTCAGACCCAGCCCAATAAGATCGAAACTCACTACTGAGCTCAGCTTGGGCCTGAGTTCCTAAGAACTATGTCCTACCCAAAGAGTTGTCCAGCTATGCCCAAGAGAGACTGTACCCTATTTGATAACAGCCTCCAGCCAAAAGCACCAGAAGTGTCCAGAGGGTCTGATGAGGTAGATGCAATGGAGGTCACCCGTGTTGGAGAACAGCATCCAACAGCTCATCCCATGGACAGAGTGGACCCACGCTGCACCCTGCCTCCCACCACCTGCCCCACAGCACCGATGCTGCATGCCCTTGCCCTAACCCTGGCCCTCGGCTAGTGCCCCACCGTCATTAGTGTTCTAGAGCCACCTGTTTGGGTCCTACACTCTTCGAGAGCCAGCATTCTTGAACTCTCGGCGTTTTGAAGCCAGTGCTGAGAACACTAGAAGACTGAGCACAAGACAGATGTAGCTCAAGGGAATTGAGCCTTTCCGAAAGCAGCTGGCAGAACCTGAAAGTCATTAACAGCCATCAACACCCCTGGGGTGACGATCATTGATTCGTTTATTTCTATTAACATTTGAGTGTGAATTAGCTTCTGGCTCTTTCTAAATTGGCTGGCAGAGTGAGCTGGGCCATTCCTGACTGTTGAGTTTTGATGGAAGACACTAGTCTTAGGGAAAGGAGAAAGCCCAAGCCTGCCAGTTCCCATCCCTCCTCCTACTCCAGCCGGCCAACCTGCTTGTCCCCAATTCAGTGAGGCCCAAAGACAAGGGTTCCAGAAGAGTCTGTCCCCAGGGTGGTCCGTGCTCCAATGGACATCATCTCCAGATTAGAGTTCTGCACTCAGGAGTCAGGTCATCAGTTCCCTCTATTCCTCAATCTCCTGGCCTGGGGTCCAGAGGGATTCTATGAAGCAGGGGAAGGGAGAGGGAAGGCTTCCTCTATATGCCAACAGGTCTCCCATTTCAAACTCTGACTGGAAAGAAAGAGAAGGGAAAGAGGGAGAGAAAAAGGGAGGGAAGGTGAGAGGGAGGGAGAAAGGGAGACAGGGGGAAAGGAGGAACAGAGGGGAGGAAGAAATAGATAAGACACAGAATGGATGCAGGAACAAGGGAGGGAAGGAGAGGAACCGGTGCTTCAGCAGCTCCTGATTTGTGTCTGTCACCATGTTAACTCTGCAACCGTTAACAATTCAGCTCTCAAAATACTGATGACGTTACTCCCATCTGACAGCCAAGGAACCCGAGAGCTGGAAGAAACTGAGGCTGGAAGGAATTAGTACCACACACATCACCCAGTCCATGGGCTGCAGGGCCAGATTTAGAACCAAGATCAGGCTGGAGTGCCACTGGCACCTGCCAAGTCCAGAGACAGGAGGCCAAGAGTCTGTTCAGCCTCCTTCCAAGAACAGCAGAGGAGCCAGGGGGCCCCGACACCCCCTTCTCACATACTTTGGCAAGAAAGCTCTGTCCTACGAGCTCTTGTCGACCCTGGTACCAGGAAAGCCAACAAAAGGAGGGGCGATGGCAAGCTAAGCAGGGCGCACCTGCTGATGACCTGGATTCTTGCCCTTGTCCTGGGGCAGCCTGGGCTTGAGGCCCTCCTCCCAGCTTCCCTTGATATCATGTGCCAAGCACCTCCGTCCCAGTGGCCCACAGCCTCTAGAGGCCTGCTAACTCCTGCCAGGTTGATTGGGTGGCACTCGACGTGCAAACAGGGAGGAATGGCTCAGTCCCTGGGGCCTTACCTGTCCCTCCTGAGGGAAAAGGGGCAGGCGGGAGGTGGAGGAGGGATGACCAGGGAGGTCTGAGAAGGAACGACGCTCCTCCCAGGCAGTACAGGGCCAGGTTTGAAGGATCTAAGTTGCTTCCCCGGAATCGGCCCAGCTGATCACTGTTCCACCCTGCCTCCCACCCATGCCAATCCCAAGTTGAGGGAAACTAGCATTTATCAAATACAGCTGTGGGTAGGCCAAGGCAGTGATCTCATTTTACCATGAGCAGGTGGGGAAACCAAGGTCCAGAAGGTGCCTACTACTGTAGACACCCAGGTCCCAGCCAGTGAAGTGGAGCGAGTCCCCCTCTCCCTGGCTCTCTTCCCACCTTAGCCTGACCCTTTCCCAGGACCACAAGCCTTCAAGTGGAGCTGAACTGCTTCTTGAGACCAGGGCAAAACATTCCCGTTCCAAAGTCCTCTGGCCTCTGTGCAGTTACAGACAGTGACTACACCCAGACCACCTTCGGAACTGCCCTGAGGTCTAAAGGATCTCGTGTCAGCGCAAAGACAGCTGGGAAAAGCCTCCTAAGAAAAAAAAAAAAAGGAGGTCCTGGTACAGTTTATGACCTCACCCCTACCCAGAAGCCTTAAGAAGCTTGCCTGCCGGCCCTGAGTCCTCCACTTGACCTACTGCATCCCAGGGTCTCCTTGACTTCCTTCCTACGTAGCAGCTAAAATCTGCACCAATTCACATCCCCCTTAAGAAGTCCTGAGTCTTCCCTACTTTCCAACTTCTTCTCCCAATTTCTTCCTACCACCCCTAAAGCCATCAGAAACCTACGTCACTCGTCAGAATTGCATGTGTCACAAGCCATTACAAACGTCGCCTCTGCCCCCCACCCCCCGTCAGGTGACTTTTCCCTCCTTTCCTTCCCTACAGGCATGTGCCTTGTTGGTGGTACTTCATGGAGTTTTCGGTTCCAGCCCAGGCTTCCCCCTCTGGAGGTGGCTCCTGTACCCAGAGGGCTGGGGTAGCTGAAAACGAGGCTCTGGCTTTCTGGGGTTCATAGTGTTCCTGAGAAGGATCCTGTCCCTCTCCAAGGCTGGTTAGAGATGCCAGCTCTGTCTCCCGGAATCATGAAAAATCTGGGAACAGTAGGCAAAGCCAAGGAATGTCTCACCCACGGGCTGCTGGAGCCACTTCCTTCCTGGAAGGAGAACAAAGCAGAGAAGGGGAGATAAGGCTTCTCCCTGCGTGCAGGGCTGTAGAGAGCAAGGTGACTGCCTAGGGAGCCCAGAAGTGAAAGATGGGTGGGTACCAGGTCCAGTCAAAGCCCCACGCTCTCCCTCCTCCCTCTCCTCTGCCTGCCTCCATCCCCCTGTCCCCCCAACACACTTCTCGTTCTTCATCTTCACAGTTTCCTCCTCCGTCCCTTGCTTCTCACTCCCATAACCACCCACTCTCCTGGACTGCACGGCATGAAGACCAGGCATGACTCCAGATTTCCATGCCCTTATCTCGACTTCCCAGGCCTTCCTGGTGGGCCCCCAATGCACCCCTCCACCCCTTTCTGCCACAGACTGTCCTGGCCTGCGTTTTCCTGCCTCCTGGCTGGTCGTGGGAGCCGCAGGACTCCCATGACCTGTGTCCTCCCTGGCTGACCGCCGTCTCACCCAGTGGAAATCCTGACCCGGAAGACCCTCCCCCAACTCCTGTACTCCACCCACCCTGAGCAGCCCTAACCCGCAGCCAGAATACATCTCCCACACCCACAGACTCCGTGACCCACCCAGGCCGTGACAGTGTGTTCTGGAAGAAGGTAGCAACAGCAGCAGTAGATAGCTTTGTCTACTGAAGACTCCTACCTCCCTTCACGGCGTCCAGGACTGACACTGGGAACGCAGTGGCCGGCCAGGGGCCATCTCTCCCAAGTCCCCCCCAACACACGCAGCATTAAGATGGAGCCACAGGATTGGTTCTCACGCCTGGGATGTGAGCAGAGGTGTCCCTTCTGAGACAAAGCTGGCATGCCTTCATTCTCTCTCCTCCGTCCACCAGCCTTGACACCCACAGCCGATGGCCATGATCTTGGAAGCCACCCAGTGAAGGTGGCACACTGTCAACAAGCTGGTCCCCGAGAAGTTCCACTGCCTGCCCCGGCATTCCCCTAGAGCAAGATAGGAAAAGAAGCACTCTGCTGTTTCTAAACGATTCGCTATCCTTGGGCCTGTTGGCTATGCCAATTAACCTATCCAGACCAGCACAAATCGCTACCAACCTTGGGAATGCTTCCTGAATGCTAGGAACTGTGTGTGTGTGTGTGTGTGTGTGTGTGTGTGTACAAATGTATATACATATGTTTGTACACACATACAAACATATATATATATATATATGTTTGTATATACATATATATATGTTCATCTGTGTCTGTGTGTGTGTGTACTTGGGTGTGCCTATGTGACTGCATATATGTGTGCATGTGTGTTAGGGCAGAGTACCTTTCTTAACCACTCCCACCTGAGTTTCTGAGACAGGGCCTATCTCTCAACTGACTCAGCTAGACTGACTGGGGCAGCAAGCCCCCAAAATCCTCCATTCTTCCTCCCCAAAGCTGAGGTTACAGGTGCACGGCTTTTTTTTTTTTTTTTTTTTTTAATGTGGGTTCTAACGCTTTCCTATTTCCTCTGTCAGTCCATCCTCATCGTACCTCCACAGGGACCTGAGGCCAGGCAATCGCAAGTTCAAGGACAACCTGGGCTGCAGAGTGAATTGAAGACTAGCCTAGGTAACAGCAAAATTCTGTTTCAAACTCTGAAAGAAAGACAGACAATCAGGCAGACAGAAAGACAATGTTAATGCCCAGTGGTAGACTTTTCACCCATACTGAAAAAAGAAAAGAAAAAAAAAAAAGAGAAAAGTAAGGTCATTTGGCCAGAGTCACCCCGTGAGCAAACTACATTCAGATTGTGACTGAGTTCAGAGTCACCGACAGGCCTTTGGTGCATATCTGACAGCCTTCCCTAGAATACTGTCAACAGAAAGGGCAAGTCAACGCTCTGGTCACACCTTTGCCCTGCAGTACAAGTGTCTGGGCCACATTAAACAGCTTCACTGTAATTGCCTTTCAGTCTCTTTTCTCTGAGAGCTTCCTGAGACCTCTTCAGAGCGGAGGGCCCTTCTCTTCTGCGCAGCCGAATCACCACAGCGGTCCAGGAGCGCATGCATTTTGCTGAACTGGAATTGAGATCTGACAAGCTCAGTGACACCCCCCCCCACACACACACACACCCTTGAATGGCCAAATACACAAGGAGCTGGGTCTACGGAACTCTCGCCACTGTTCAGCCCCTACCCCTCACCCACATGATCATTGTCTCTTGTGGCCTGGGTAGCTGGAGGTTCCCAGCGGGTCAGGGGGCTGGAGGACAGAAATGTACATCCGTGGCTTGCGTGAGCAGGCCAGTCTTTTCCTGCCCAAACCACGCAATCTGGTTTTCATTCCTTCAGGGAAGCGGGCGGAGCGTGACAGGAGGGTGGAAGAAAAAGAATCCCTCGGGCCAAGTGAATAAAAATCAGAAAACATCAAAGTCGATAGAAAATGTGGGTATCTCGGCCAAACCATGAGGCTTAAGCCGGAAGAAGCTCAGAAACGGCCTTGCTTTCTTCTGAAACCTCACGGGTGCTCTTCGTACAAGCCCCACCACGGAGGAGGGGGAGCCCGGGTACCACATGGTCATGGATGGTCTGCAGAGCCTCGGCCGCCAGGCAGCTTGCCTGCAGTCTGCGAGACGCTGGTTTGCAGTGATGTGCTTGGGCTTGGCTGTCTCTCTCAACAGGAACAGTACTCCTGGGTCACGGCTGAGGCACGCAGCAGGCGCCTGATGAATGCCCTTCTGAATGGGCACAAGTGGAGTGTATGACAACGGCCTTGTTCAGCCAATCACATCAGCTCCCCACGATGGGAAGAGTGACGTCAGGTGTACGTGCCCCGGGGCACACGTTAGTACACCATAGCACACGTGGTTCCTAGGTCTGTATACAGGTAAGCAGTCTGTGGACCCCCCCATCCTTCCTTAGCCAGCAAACAGAGTTCACACACGTGTGTGCACACGCACGCACACACACACACACACACACACACACACACACCCCTTTAGCTGAGAGAGGGTGAATGGAAACAGCTGTCCACAAGGGGGCAACCAAAGACTGCCAGACTCGAGATCCCAGCACCAAGATTACTACTAGTTTGCCTCAGAGAGACAACGAGATGCTCAGGGAAAATGTCAAAGAACACGAAGTGGGGGTCCCGAGCGGAAACTCAGCAGAGGGGGAGGCCCACAGGGCTGAGATGGAAACTGAGGCCGAGCTGCTATGTGGCGCAAATAAATCCCTGCACACTGACGACCGTTTATCACGCAGTTCCCATCCCTTGCCCTCTGATAAATAACACTTCATTTAGTCTTCCTGTTGCCTTTTAAATCTTTATGTAGATTTTTTTAAAATTTTACATGTAAGGGTGTTTAGCCTGCACGTGCACCACATCCGTGCCTGGTGCCCTCAGAGGTCACAAGAGGGTGTCAGATCCCCTGAACCTGGAGTTATAGGCTGTTGTGAGCCTTGTGGGTGCTGGGAACCAAACCTGGGTCCTCTGCAAAAACAAGTGCTCTTAATTGCTGATCCAATTCTCCAGCCCCTCCTCTTGTTTGTTTGTTTGTTTGTTTTTAATATATTTAGCTTTATTTCACATGCATGGGTGGTTTGCCTACATGAGATCGTCAGATCTTAATGTTATAATTACGAGCTGCCAGGTGGGTGCTGGGATATGAACCCAGTCCTCTTGAAGAGCAGTCAGTGCCCTTAACCAATAATCCATCTCTCTGGCCCCCCTCCTTTCATATTTGAAGGGGTCAGAATCACTACCGCTTCTGCTTTATAGATGCAAAGGAAAAATAATGTCTCAGACGCCTAACGTAAATTGCACAGGGACACCCAGTGGCAAAGTCACAATTCTAACTCAGAACCAACCTGGAAAGGTGACACTCAGCTATAATTCCAACACTCAGGAGATGGGGGCAGGAGGGTCAGGAGTCAAAGGTCAGTATCAGTTATTAGTTAGTTGAGGCCATGCTGGGACGTAGGACCCTAGCTCGGTAGAAAGAAGAATTCAAACTCAAGACCTGTCCGTTCAAACTGGACACCATTCATTTGGCTCCCCTCCGGCTGGAACTTCCAGAATGCTGGGCAGTGAAACCCCTGTCATCTTCCTCTTGGGTAGTTGTAAAGGACCTAGGAGCTGGTTTTCTGGGTGTGAATAACGCGTTGCCCTGAGACTGACCCCTCACAGTCTGTAAGCCATTGCTATTGAGCTGCAATAGGAGTCGTTAGAAAGCAATAAAGCAATTCCTAGCAAGGGGCATAGGGCTCTTCTCCCCTCTTTGACCCAGTCAGCTCGTTCCTGGGAATGTATCCCAAGGAAACAGCCAGAATGGGAGCCAAGCGCTAATCTGCATAAATACATGCGTGGAAGGCTTTCTTTAAAGGTCAAAAGCTGGGAACCAAAACAGGGAAGTAATTTCAAAAACTGGAGCATCTACACAATGGGCAATCAAGCCTGGGAAAACACAGCTGTGGACCCGCCAGGCTGGAGCAGAGCCCTTCTGCTATACGTCGAAACCCTGGGCCCTCCCACCTAACTAACTAGCTGTTCAACCAAGTATGCTTGGTGGGGAGGGGGCTCTCTGCCCCTGTCCAAAATAGTCTGTTAATCCCCAGTGCTCTGAGGAAGTGGGAGAGAAACTGGAGGGCAGCAAGGGTAACAGCCCAAATAATTCTTGACTTTTGGGTTTCCAAGGCCCTGGGTCCCAGGAATGCATGGCGTTTTCCCAGGGTGGTTTTGATTACCGATTATCAGTGCTCTTCACCTTCCACACTGCTGGTTACTAAGCAGCCTGGCTGTTCCGTGTAAATCTTAAGGTAACAGGTAGAGTCAGACAATCCCAGCACTAGGGAGGCAGTAGGCAGGCAGATATCGGTGAGTTCGAGGCCAGCCTGATCTACAGAGTGAGTTCTAGGACAGCCAAGGCTACACAGAGAAACCCTGCCTTGAAAAACCAAAACAACGAGTAGAGTTTCCTTGTTGATATTGTACTTACTATTTGCGTGTGTGTAGTGTGTGTGTGGTATGCATGTGATTACAGATACATGCATGACACAGTAGCAAAGTGAGGGTCAGAGGACAACTCTTGGGAGTCAGTTCTCCCTACCCACTGTGGGCCCATAGTTTACTTGCTGACCCAGCTTGCCAATAGGTATACCAACAGTATACAGTTCCTATTTGCAGCCTGAGCACACCAGAAACGGGCCATGAGCCTAGATCTCGAATTATTGCCCCACCCCCTTAGGGACAAGCAGTGAGGAAAGACTTCAACATCAGTGCCCCCCACCATGGCTTCAACTCAGAAAAAGGTACGTGCAAAAGGCTGCGGGGTGGGGGTGGGGGGTTGGCTCTGTCTAGGGAAGCACTGATCCTCCAAGCACAAGACATTCCTGAAGACAGCCTCCACAACATAACATGTAATAAGAAAGAGAGAGAGAGAAAGGAAAGAAAGAAAGAAAGAAAGAAAGAAAGAAAGAAAGAAAGAAAGAA